TATATTGTGTAGGGTGTTGTGTGCCTGTGTGCAGGTGCCCTTGGAAGCCAGAAGAGGGCTTTCTGGAGAGTTCCTGGAGCTGGGGTTATAAGATGTAACAGATGTGGGTATTGGAAATAGAATTTGGGTCTTTTGTTAGACCAGCATGCACTCTTCAATCATGAGTCATCTTTCTAGTCCTAGTTCTTTATAAAATTTAGAAGTTAAATCTAATCATCTGGATGTGGTGGTGTATGCCTTAAGTCCCAGCACACAGGAGGCAGAGACAGATGTGTTTCTGAGTGGGAGGCCAACCGGGTCTACAGAGTGAATTTCAGGACAGCTAGGGCTATACAGAGAAACCATGTCTCAAAAACAACAATAAAACCAATAAGACAACAAAAACAAAACCCCCCAATCTAATCAGAAGTGTGGCTTGTAAATTTTTTCCACAGTTGCCATTTCATTTTATCATTTCTTTTGCTGTACAGAAGCTTTTTCTTCTCCGTTATGCATTGAACTTTGGTTTTACTTAGCAGTTCCTAGGACATATTATTTTGGCTTTTGTACAATCATACTTCTTAGGCAGACATTTTAAAACCTAGGGAAACTCATGCTGGTAATCTTGTATAATTTAGCATTAAGACTGCATTATATCTTCCTCAAGTTACTTATATAACTCTTCTTTTTCCTTCCAGCCCTGCTTAACTGCTTATGAATGACTTCACACCTTTTCCTTCATTGTGTCTTTGTGCATGCACCTCCTTCTGTATTGCTTTAGTCATAGTGCAGTCACTTCTCTTTGGCGGCTTCTCAGACCTTGATTTGACAGAGGTCTTTCTTTTGTGTGTTCCCTTAGCATTTTTGTTTTCTTTTATTATAACACTTGTCTCGTTGATTACAATTATATGATTATCCATCTGCCCACTTCCTTTGCCTCCCACAAGACTGGGAGTGGCATGATGTGTGATTTGCTCAACTTGGCTTCTTCAGTATCTGAACAGTATCTAGCATATTAGTAGATGAACTAGTACTTTTTGAATCAATGAATTATAAACTTGTCTGTGTCATCTCTCCTCTGTGCTAAAAACACTTAACACGAAACTTGCTTCTGTGCTCAATTTGATTTCCTCTTTTGGAACCATTTTTTAAAAGGAGTAAAATAAAGTTCCTCTTCACATTTCCTCACCAAAGTGGCCTTTGGAAAGTTTGGGGTACTCCAGATCTTCCATGGAAGCTTTCCTTAGCAGGCATGCATGATACCATCCTGTCCTTTGTCCCTGTTAACCCCAAAGCTGGTTTCCCACCTTCTGTGTTCTAGACCCCAGAGTAAGGTGAATTCCTCTCCTTGCTAATGACCCACTTCCATCTAGTTTTCATGTTTTCAGCAATGCTTTCTTGTTACTGTTTTTTGAGACTGGGTTTCAATTTGTAGTCAAGCTGAACTGGAACTCACTATGTAGGGTAACATAGCCTTGAACTCATGGAGTCCCGCCAGCTTCTGCCTCCCAAGTTCTAAGATTAAAATGTACTAACACCACTAGCAGTGCCATGGTTTTGCAACAGGCATTTGAGTCATTAATTTTTATCTTCCTCCTAGGTCATTCCCATAAGCATACATTTATGCTGTTATTTCTCCTTAAAAACACAATAATATTGTCTCCATCTTCTGATGGTCAAATCACCTTTCAGAGCTTTACATACATGTAAAGACAGAGCTAGGGAAGGGCTTACCTGCCCCAACCCAACTCAGTGACTGTCCTCTTGCTTGCTGTCCCTTTCCAGAGCCTAGAAGTTTTTATTTGTTTGTTTGTTTTTTTTTTTGAGACAGGGTTTCTCTGTGTAGCTCTGGCTGTCCTAGAATTCACTCTGTAGACCAGGCTGGCCTCAAACTCAAAAAGATATGCCTGATTCTGCCTCCTGAGTGATGGGGTGAGCAGGATCATGGCCAGGGTGTTTGATTCTTAAGTATACTTATGGATCTTTTGTGACAACTGTCTTTGCTTACATCTTTGGATTCCCTGCTTCCCTGAATCTCATATTATTTGGGTAGAGAGAGAGTTGAATGTACTCCAAATGTTGCTTCTTTTTCCCTAGTTTCTTGGCTTAAAAATTAGAGATATGGGACTGATCCAGACCCTCTGAATGTGGGTATCAGTGAGGAGGCCTAGGCAATCTATGGAGCCTTGGGTAGTAGATCAGTATTTATCCCTAGCATACAAATGGACTTTGGGTGCTCATCCCACAATGAGGGATGCTCTCTCAGCCTGGACTCTTGGCAGAGGGCATAGGCACTGCCGTGGACAAAATGACAGACTCTAGAGATTCCCCCATGGAGGGCCCCACCCTGCCTGGGGAACGGAATGGGGATTGGGTGGAGGGCTGGGGTGTGGGGAGGAGGGAGGAGAGTGGGAGCTGGGATTGACATGTGAAGCAAACTTATTTCTAGTTTAAATAAAAAATAAAAAAACAAAACTAGAGATATGGAGGCTGGAGAAACTTTTCAGGGTTAAGAGCACTGGCTGCTCTTCCAGAGATTCTGAGTTTAATTCCCAGAAACCACGTGGTGGCTCACAACCATCTATAGCTATAGTCCCATGGGATCCAAAACCCTCTCATGGTGTTTAGTCGAAACACCCAGACACATGAAAACAAACAAACAAAAACAGATTTTTAAAAAAGCTATAGATACAGAAGGCTTCCTATTCTATTGGTCACCATGCCTTCAGGCAGAACCACATATCCAGCTGTCACACGTGCTATCACATAGAAGAGAAAACCACAGAGCTATAAATCTTACCACTTGCATTTGTTGTCACACTGTTACCCTTTTCTGTACTCATTCCCATTTGGGGTAATGCCTCCAATCACTGCAGCAGAAAGTAAGTCTATGCTATGCATGTGGGCTGGTTCAGTTGCATGAGATGATTAAGGGATACCTAAAATAAAAATGATTCCTGAGTTCCCCACTTGCTTCTCAAAACTGTGGCAATAAATTGCATCGTTAGATTCCCCAATACTTACCTGTCCTTAAAACTATGCGGTAAATCAGACTTGAAGATGGTATATTTTTCCTTTCATACCAAATATACCATTAGAAACCTTGGTATGCAGACATAAAGCAAAAGATACCCAGCCTATAATCCATAACCCCAGAGAAGCTAGAACCCTCTTCCGGAAACAGATGGAAGCAGATACAGAAATTCACAACTAAACAGTGGGCCAAGCTCCTGGAGTACAGTCAAAGTGAGGGAGGAGAGATAATATGAACAAAGGAGTCAAGACCATGATGGGGAAACCCATAGAATCAGATGACCCGAGCTACTGAGAGATCACTGACTCAGGTCTGACAAATGGGGAACCTGCATAAGACTGAACCAGACTCTCTTAATATAGGTGACAATGGTGTGACTGGGACAAAATATGAGGCCACTGACAGCGGGTCCAAGATCTAATGCTAATGCACAAACTGACTTAGTGGAGCCCATTCTATATGGAGAGATACTATGTGCAGCCTAGACAGGTAGAGAGGTACCTTGGTCCTGCCTCAAAGAGATGATGGGACATACTTACTAGACTTCCTAGGAGAGGCCTTAACCCTCTTTGTGGAGCAGATGGGAGAAGGGGGGAGTGGAGGGAGTGGGAGGAAAGGAGGGAGGGGGAACTGGGATTGGAATGTAAAAAATAAATTAATAAAAAAGAAAGTTTGGTATGGTTATGAACTATAATACTACCACTTGAGAAATAGAGGCATAGAAAATCAGAAATATATAGTCTTAGTTAGGTTTTCTATTGCTGCAATGAAACATCATGAACAAAAAGCAAGTTGGAGAGGAAATGATTTATTTGGCTTACACTTCCGTATCACTATTTGTCATTGAAGGAAGTCAGGACAGGAACTCAAACGACAGGAACCTGGAAGCCGGAGCTGATGCAGAGGGCTTGGAGGGGAGCTGATTACTGGCTTGCTCCCCATGGCTTTTTCAGCCTGCTTTACTTTAAAACTCAGGACCACCAGCCCAGGGATGGCAGCACCCACAATGGGATGGGCTCGGGCTTGGGAGATGGCTCAGCGGTTAAGAGCACTGGCTGTTCTTCCAGGGGTCCTGAGTTCAATGGGATGGGCTCTATCACATCAACCACTAAATAATAAAATGCCTTATCATATTTAATCCCAACACTCAGGAGGCAGAGGCAGGGGAATCTCTGAGTTCGAGGTCAGAGTCTCTTGGTCTACAAAACAAGTTCCTGGACAGTCATGGCTACACAGAGAAACCCTGTCTTGAAAAACCAAAAAAAAAAAAAAAGAAAGAAAGAAAATGCCTTGCAAGCCTGACCTTATGGAGGCATTTTCTTAATTAAGGTTCTCTCCTCTCAGATAGCTAGCTTGTGTTAAGTTGATACAAAACTGTCTAACACACACACACACACACACACTAATTTACTTATTTTATTTAATGTGTGTGAATGTTTTGACTGCATGTATGTCTGCACCACAAATTCAGAAGAGGACATCAGGTCCCCTGAAATGAGTTACAGGTGGTTGTGAGCAGCCATGTGGATGCTGGGAACTGAACCCAGCCTCTCTATAAGAGCTGCAAATGCTATTAACCACTTAGCAACCAGTCCAGCTCCCAGCCCCTTAGAGAAGAATTTGAGTTCATATTTGCCTACACAGTGAGTTTGAATCTTTTTTTTTTGTTTGTTTTTCGAGACAGGGTTTCTCTGTATTGTTTTGGAGCCTGTCCCGGAACTCTCTCGGTAGACCAGGCTGGTCTCGAACTCACAGTGATCCGCCTGTCTCTGCCTCCCGAGTGCTGGGATTAAAGGTGTGCGCCACCAACGCCCGGCGAGTTTGAATCTATTGTGGCCTCTAGGAGACCTGCTCTCTCTAAAAAATAAACTGTTACTTTAGAATGGCAGTTTTTCTTCTTTCTTGCTGTGCTTATCCCTGCTATAAGGTTCTTGACAGAGCTTGAAAACAATTGGTCTAATAACTTCATATTAAATTTCCTCTGTAGGCTTGGCGCAAGCGCTGGTTTGTCCTCCGGCGGGGTCGCATGAGTGGCAATCCTGATGTCTTAGAGTACTACCGAAACAAGCACTCCAGCAAGCCTATCCGTGTAATAGACCTCAGCGAATGCACTGTGTGGAAACATGCAGGTCCTGGCTTCGTCAGGAAGGAATTTCAGAACAATTTTGTGTTCATTGTCAAGACTACTTCCCGTACATTCTACCTGGTAGCAAAGACTGAAGAAGAAATGCAGGTGTGGGTACACAGCATCAGTCAAGTATGCAATCTCAGTCACTTGGAAGATGGTACAGGTAAGAGCAAGGCTGGAACACTTGTGAGCCAAGGGATTGTCCAAGATGTTTTGCTAGTGCTGGAAAGCTACTGCAAATAAGTGGTGCCTGCCTCTGTGACAGTATTTTGGCAATTTAATGTATATAACCAGAGCTAATCCCACTAAATTCAGTATAACACCAGAAAGCACTGTATTTTGCTTAGTAGTAGGACTCAAGTTCAAATGTGGCAAGGCAAAAATCTACCCATATATGTACAATTGAACCTCTCTTCTGGTAAACAACCTGGAAGTTGGCTCTGGGTCACTTTTGGGCATTGGGAACAGTTAATTCAACCCCTTTTCCTCTTCTTCCTCTTTTTCTTCCTCCTTCTAATTCTACTCCCTCTCTTTCTCCATCTTCTTCGCTCCCTCTTCTTTTACCCTGTCTCCACATACTACCATTTCCATGTAATATACAAGATGGTTATAGTCTAGGGATATAATTTACTTTCTTTTGTAGATTTTATTTTTGAGTCTGTATTGGTCAAGTTTCTATTAAGTAATAGAAGTATAGGTGTGTATGTGTGTGTGTGTGTGTGTGTGTGTGTGTGTGTGTTTGTGTGTGTTTGTGTGTGTGTTTATCAGAGTGGCTTACAAGTGTGGTCTGGCTAGTCCAGCACTGGCTGTCTCCTGATGGAAAGGCCAAAAGTCAGATAGTTGTTTAATCCATGAGGATGTATGTCACAGTTGGTCCTCAGTGCACATTGGAATCCTTGAAAAGTGGGTTCTAATACCCACAAAGAAATGCTTCGGTAGCAGGATGAATGAACTTGCCAGCCACAGTGAGAACAAGCAGGTAAAAAGCAAAACCTTTCTTTTTCCTTGTACTTTTATGTGGACTGCTACCAGAAGGTGTGGCCAAGATTTAGGGTGTGCCATCTCATCTCAAATGATCAAGAAAATCCTTCAGAGGCTTGGCCAGCCGCTGGGCTTTAGTTGATTCTAGATGTAGTCAAGTTGACAACTAAGATTAGGCATCACAGCTCCCTAGTATTATTTCATCATATTCTGACACTTAGAATAGGGAATTTTGAATCTGATGTCTTTTAGCCTCTTTGTTTAGAAAAGAAAATCGTATCCCTAATCTTTACATATACTTCAAGATTTAAATAACTCCTTAACTATTTTTACCATCTACTATGGACATATCCATATTAGAACACCAGGTGGCAATGGGGAGTCAGTGTTGCATCTCTAAGGCAAGCTTGCATGGGTGCTTCCTTTTCTTTTCATGAGCCAGCAAAGCTTATTAAGTGATACTATTTAGTACCATTGCTGAGCTTTGAAAGCACTCAAATAAAAGGAAATGAAGTGACATCAAGTACTTTATCTTTGGTACAACAGATAGAGCTTGCAAAGTAGCAGTATATCCATCATGCCTAGCACCTGACATCAAGCAAACCCAGCAAAGCCTCTCTGACCAAACTTCCAGTGATGCTTGCTGCTGTCTGTCCACTACCCTATTTTCTACCTTCAGCCAAACTTTTTTAAACTTTCTTTTTGTTTATTCTTTGTGTCTTTCACATCATGCATCTTGATCCCATTCATTTCCGGCCCCTCCGTATCTGCCCCTGTCCTTGCAGCTCCCCATAAATTAAAATACAATTTAAAAGAAAAAAGAAGAAAAGGAAATATCTTGTCATGAAAGCTGTAGTGTGACACATGGAGTTGCAAAGTAAACCCTTTTATTCATATATCTTTACTTGCAAGTTTTGCGAGTGTTCATTGCAAAGAGTCATTGGTCTGGATCAGGCCTCTGGTTTCTGCTACACTTTCAATACTGGGCCCTCACTAGGGCTCCTTTTGGATACCCTGTTGCTGTCCTGTGTTGTGGAGATCCTGTAACTTTGCGCCTGCAGGATCTGCCCCTTCACATGCTCCAGCAGATCATAGATGGTGTGGATGTTGGGGTGAGCCAACTCATAATTCTGGTTCTGGGCCTGGGTGGTTGCAGGGTTGGTCAGCCACCAGCTTCCCCTTCCCCTTCACCACCAGGATGAATTCTCCTGCCTTAGATTTTAAAATCTCTAGTAGAAGCCTGAAGCCTCAGATAGTACCAAACCAATGGTACATCATTTTCTCTGTGTATACACAAAATTTAATGCTTTTCCATCTTTTTTATTTTTTATGATTTGTTTTTAAATTTAAATTTAAATTTAAATTAGAAACATGGTTACTTCACAAGTCAGTTCTAGGTCCCTCTCCGTTTCCCTCCCCTCCTCCCGTGCCCTCCTACCAACCCCCCCAATATCCCCTCATTTCTCCAGGGAGGGTGAGGCCCTCCTTGGGGGTGTCCATAGTCTGTCATTTCATCCAGACCAGGACCTAGCCCCTCCCCCAAGAGTCCAGGGTGAGAGTGTATCTCTCATTGTTGGATGGGCGCCCAAAGTCCATTTGTATACCCTGGATAAATACTGATCTACTGCCCAAGGCTCAGTAGGTTACCTAGGCCTCCTCACTGACACCCACATTCAGGGGGTCTTGATCAGTCCCATGCTGGATTCCCAGGCATCAGCCTGGGATTCAAGAGCTAACCCTTGTCAGGTCAGCTGTTTCTGGGGGTTAAACCAGCCCAATCGTATTCCCTTTGGTCATCAGTCCTCCCTCTCTGTTACTGGCTTTCTTGAGTTCAGCTCAGTGTTTAACCGTGAGAGTCTGCCTCTTCTTCCATCAGCCACTGAATGAAGGTTCTGTTTCCCAGACACTCTGGTCATGGGATTGTAGGCTGGCCCTCCCCAGATCTATGTCTAAAATCCATATATGAGAGAGTACATGCCATGTTTCTCTTTTTGTGACTGGGTTACCTCACTCAGGATGGTTTCTTCTAGTGCCATCCATTTGCCTGCAAATCTCAGGATTCCATTTTTTTCTGCTGAATAGTACTCCATTGTGTAAATGTACCACATTTTCTCTATCCACTCTTCGGTTGAGGGGCATCTAGGTTGCTTCCAAGTTCTGGCTATTACAAATAATGCTGCTATGAACATAGTGGAATAGACATCCTTGTTGTATGAATGGGCATCTTTTGGATATATGCCTAAGAGTGGAGTTGCTGGGTCTTGTGGTAGGTTTATTCCCATTTTTCTGAGGAATCTCCATACTTATTTCCAAAGTGGCTGAACAAGTTGGCACTCCCACCAGCAATGGAGGAGTGTTCCCCTTTTACCACATCCTCTCCAGCATAAATTGTTGGTGTTTTTGATTTTAGTCATTCTGACAGGAGTGAGATGGTATCTCAGACTTGTTTTGATTTACATTTCCCAGATGGCTAAGGATGTTGAGCACTTTCTCAAGTGCCTCTCAGCCATTTTAGACTCCTCTATTGAAAATTCTCTATTTAGTTCTGCAGCCCACTTTTTAATTGGATCCTTTGGTGTTTTGGAGACTTGCTTCTTGAGTTCTTTGTAAATTTTGGAGATCAGCCCTCTGTCAGATGTGGGATTAGTGAATATTTTTCCCATTCTATGGGCTGCCTTTTTGTCTTGCTGACTGTGTCCTTTGCCTTACAGAAGCTTCTCAGTTTCAGGAGGCCCCATTTATTAATTGTTGATCTCACTGTCTGTGCTACTGGTATTATGTTCAGGAAGCTGTCTCCTGTACCAATTCGTTCAAGGGTACCACCCACTTTTTCTTCTAAGAGGTTCAGTGTGGCTGGATTTATGTTGAGGTCTTTGATCCATGTGGACTTAAATTTTGTGCATGGCGATAGACATGGATCGATCCACATTCTTCTGCATGCCAGCCTCCAGTTATGCCAGAACCATTTGTTGAAGATGCTTTCTTTTTTCCATTGTATATTTTTAGCTTCTTTGTCAAAGATCAGATGTTCATACGTGTGTGGGTTAATGTCAGGGTTTTCAATTGAATTCCATTGGTCTACCTGTCTATTTTTGTGCCAATACCAAGCTGTTTTCAGGACTATAGCTCTATAATAGAGCTTGAAGTCAGGGATTTTGATGCCTCCGGACGTTGACTTGTTGAACAGGGTTGCTTTGGCTATCCTGGGTCATGGTTTTCCATCTTACATAAGTGTTTATCATACATTATGAATAGCACAAGAAACTTTTGCAGTTTGAAGTGGGGCAGCAAAATAAACACATTCTTCTTTTTCTTCACAACTTTATGAATAGAAGGCTCATTCCTATGTCAATCTTGCAGCTTTAGTGTACGATTTTTTTCTTATCAAGTAAAAATATGTCACCTGTTTGTACTAACAGAAGCAGTTTATGACTTTTATCTTATATAATTCAATTACTGGGGTCATTACTCTTACATATTAAGGGTATTATTAAGAAAAATGTTATTTAAAATAATCACTGTGTGAAGACCAACCTGGTCTACAAGAGCTAGTTCCAGAACAACCTCCAAAGCCACAGAGAAACCCTGTATCAAAAAACAGAGAGAGAGAGAGAGAGAATAAGCTTTTTTCCAGTACAAAAAATAAATTAATAAATAAAAAGTATTTGAAAAAAATAATCACTGTGGTGCCATGACAACTAACTTGATAACAAAAGAGTGCTACTAAGTGCCTGATGGGCACAATAGTGAAGACTGTGCATATATTCTGGGCAAAGAGAAGATTAAAATTTCAGGCAACACACAGTGCATGGCATAAAAATTATCATACTATGCATAATGCCTCACAATTTAAAATTTGTAACTTCCAGGACTGGAGAGATGCTTCAATGGCGAAAAGTGCATACTGTTCTGGCAGAAGACCTGGGGTTGGTTCCCATCACCCATATCAGGCAACACATAACTTCCTGTAACTTCAAATCCAAGAGATCTAAAGCTCTCTTCTGTCCTTCACAGTCACTGCATATACACATACACACACTTGCATAAGTCACGCGCAAGTGTACGCGTGCACACACACATTTCTTTTTAAAAAATACTACTTCCTTATTTCTGAAATTTTCCATTTCATATTTTCAGACCAAGGTTGATTTCAGGTAAATAAAACCATAGAAAGGGAAATTACAATAAGAGGGAACAACTGTATAGTATTTGCTTTTGTCTATGGAAACCACAGTCTAGTCAACATTGTTTCTTCATTATGGATTTGTCTTATCCCATACTGGCTCTATGGCAGATGTGCTGTTGTCATCTCTACTTTACAGTAGAGGACACCTGAAGTAAACAGAATATAACTATAACCTGGAAATGTTCCCAAGAAGCTCAGGGTCACTCTAACTGAGGAACCTTGTATTGAAAACTTGGTTCCAAGAAAAAATAAAAGCAACCTTTTCATTGACTTTTTATGATCCAGAGTTCTTATAAGTTCTTGATCTTGATTAATTTTTGAGCCCTGTTCTCAAGTTTTGGTGAGAATATTAGTGTCCCCAAAAAACATAGATTGTTCCTTTCTTTCTCCTTATATGCAAGTTATTAACACCACTGTATTTATGCGTTGCTTATTTGATTCCTCTGGTCTAAATGTAAACTCAAGTAAAGGCAGGGCCCTTGTATCTGCTACGTCATCAGAGTTAGAAAGGTTCTAGTCACATATGTAGATGCACTACTAGGTAGTCTACATAAACATGAATATACACACAATATAAAAGAAGTATTTATGCATGCATAATATGCTAGGCTTTTTAGTGCAGTGACAAAAACAAAGGGGGATGATTTATTTTGGCTAGTGATTTCAGTCTATGATTGCTTGACTCCTTTGTTTATAGACCTATTTCTGTGGGCCTGTTGTGAGTCAGAACATGATAGCCACAAGAATATGTGTTCATCACAGTTGCTCACCTCACAGTTGCCAGAAACAAGGGGAATGAATGCCTATACTTGTAGGCTTCTTCTCTTTTTGTTCCATCCAGGACCCTAGTTCATTGGATGCTGTACATGCTTCTCTCCCCTTAACCATTTGTGAAAATGCATATACTCAGAGCTGTGCCTGAATCACCTTTTAGTCATTTTTCAATCCTGTAAAGTTGGTAAGATTAATCATCACAAGTCCCGCCTTTGTCTATCTGATACCCTATCAAATCTCTTTAAACCATACTTACACCCCAAATGAAGATAGTAACATGATCATAATTCTGCATAACATGCTGTAGCTAGCATGTATGCAAATGAAAATACACAAATTATTTTTTCAAAGTGTCAACGGATTTAGCATTGCTCAAAAATTCAAGTACAAAGTCATGGTGGTAGGTAGTCTCGTCCTTCTTGAAACATGGCTGCAGCTATATCTAGATACCTGGGCAACTGAACTTTGGTGGCCTTGTGTGAGTAACGCATCCTGTGAATAGGGTGCTGTGACAGCACTCTTTTCTCAAGGAAAGTCTTTCAAATGAGTTTATACCTTAACATTTTTAGAACTGTAATAGTTGGGTCACATTGATATCTGAAGTATAATCAAGACATTTTTCCTATTTTTTCTGGTGCAAAGTGTTTAACATTGTTTTTTAAATTTTAATTCATGAAAGTGCTTAACTTTATTGTTGTTGTTGTCATTGCCACAAATTTTGGAATTGGGACCAGGGCCGTGGTTGTGGTAGGCATGTGCTTCATCACTGAGCTGCATACCCTCTTTTTAAGATGCTAATATTTTTAAAAATCTTGACTTATTTAGTTACAACTTTACATGTATTTTTCAGGCCAAACTGAAGCATTTGTAAGTCTTTGCATTCTGATATTAGAGAGAGAGCTTAGCTTAAGAGTACTGGCTGCTCTTATACAGAACCTGGATTGATTCCCAGCACCTACGTAGAACAAACTGTAACTATGGTTACAGAGGGGATTTGACATCCTCTTCTGTCCTTTTTGAGTCCTGAACACATGTGATTCACGACATACATGTAGACAAAACACTATACTAAAATAAAATTAAAATTAAAATTAAAATGACATAAAACATTCAGTTCTTATTTTTACTTTTTGTTACATGATTTTCACTGTAAACCTGACTAAAATCAGCTAGAAACCTTTGAAGAACAGAACAAAAGTTGTGTTGTCCTTCGTGTTCTGCCTTCCACAAAGTCTTAGGGCATGACAGAATGCAGTAATGTTCTTTTCCCCTATGCAACATGAATTACCTCTAATTCTATCCCCAGACTTGTGACACCCCCTGAGTACAATCTTTTCTGTCTCGACTCTTACAACATTCTTATTTTCTAAGTTCCCACTAGAGTCATCATGAAGTTCTGCTTATAGAATTCCAGATCTTCTCTAGCTCAGGTCTCATAATTTTCAAATTCCTCCCATAAAACATTTTCAGAGGCATCTGAACCATATATTCAGGAATAATTACAGCAATAGCCCCATCCCTAGTGCCAGTTTGCTGGATTAGTCATATTTTTGTTGCTTTGGCAAATACATGGGTGAAGCAAATTGAAAGTAGAAATCTTCATGTTTTACTCATGATTTCAGAAGTTTCAAACCGTGGTTAACTGGCTCTATTGCTTTGGGCCTGAGATAAAGTAGAGCATTATAGCAATAGAAGATTTTAGCAGAGGTTTCTTGTCTTGTTATAGACAGGAAGGAAGTGGGGGCAGAATGGAATGTAGCCTCCATCAAATATGCCTCCCTAGTGACATCTTTGGTCTAAGGAGGCCCTACCTCCAAAAGTTTCCACAACTTCCAAGTAATGCTATCAAATTATCAATCCTTTAGTAGATTAATCCATTCTTGCCACTATCTTTTTTTGTTTTGTTTTCGAGACAGGGTTTCCCTGTGTAGTTTTGAAGCCTGTCCTGGAACTAGCTCTTATAGACCAGGCTGGCCTTGAACTCACAGAGATCCGCCTGCCTCTGCCTCCCAAGTGCTGGGATTAAAGGCGTGAGCCACTGCCACCTAGTTGATTAATCTATTCTTAAATGGGAATCTACATGATCTAGTCCCCTTTCAATGATTGGATTCACTACTTAGTATGAGAGCCTTCAACACATGAGCCTTTTGGGGGTGAGACATCACATCCAAACCATAATATTTGTATGCCTGAATGTCTATGTAAGTATAGACTTATTATGCATAAACGCATTAAATACATATGCACAGACATACGTATATTTGTTGAGTGTATAAACAATGAGTTAAGGCTGCTGCTGAGGACTGTTAAGCTGTGTATAGACTATTGAACTGCAGGTTTTCAGGCCAAGAATGCTTGTTTTGGGGTGGATTTTTTTTTCTCTTAATTGATTCAACACTTCACTCTTGGAACATTGGTCTCCTTTCCCAGACATTGTTTATAGCTTGAGGAAATGGTTGCCTCCACCAGTACAAACACCAGCTGTGATTTGCATCTTCTATTTGGTTCTTGGATACTGTTTGAGAAACTTTGAGTGAGTGTTATAGCCATTCTTAAAACACTAACTTTGGGAAATGATTTTTCCAGCAGATTCGGTGGAGAGTCTCTCTCACATGCCCTCCCCCCTCCACCCATCCCCTGCCAGTTCGTTTCATACTGCCCATGTTGCCAACTCTGCCTTGCCAAAAGATGACCCAAACAGTAATACTGTAGCCACTGAGGAAACCAGAAGTGAGTCAGAGTTTCTCTTCCTTCCTGATTATCTGATCCTGTCCAACTGTGAGACTGGAAGACTGCACCATGCCAGGTATGCTTACTTTTGGGACTCAGCTGGGCCTTCTAGAATGCTCTACTCTGTTCACAGAGCTCACATTACCTTCAGCAGAGTCTGTCTCTGAGATGTGCTCAAAGAACGTAGCCAGATAAGTCTGTTTAGCAAGAATGTTTTCTAGAAGGTTGGTATACTCTCATCTCTTTCTTATTATTGCCAAGGACAAGGGCAGATCATTATCAATATCACTATTAAAGATGAAGTAGTATATTAAATAAAATGAGTCATGGGTTTCAGCATTGTGGCTTTCATTTCTCACCTTGCATTTCATACTCATCTGCTACTATACAGAATGGAAAAACCAACAGAGTTTTTTCTGCACTAAGGAGTTGGTATAACAAAGCATAAGTCTCTGTAAGTAGAAAAAGTGTGGCATATGACAACTTAGAATGAGGTACATGTGGATTTTGTGTGTGGATGTTTATATATCAATCAAATTTGTATGCTTTTGTTCCTTTAGTCTTCCCACCAGATGTGATAGCTGGTCAAATTCAGACCGTTCTTTGGAGCAGACTTCATTTGATGATGTTTTTATTGATGGTCTGCAGCCATTTACTGCTAATAATTTGGTCCACCCCCTGCACCATGGGAATGGATCTCAGGATGTGTCTTCCACAAGGCCCCAGGCTGCTCTAATCTGGAACAGAGAAATCAATGTCCCATCCAGGAACCACAGGTTTTCTTCACCATTTCTGGAATCTTCCTTAAATACTACAATTCATGTAGAAAAAAAGCAAGTTTCCTTACCCAATGGAGCAAAAGAAGTAAACATTATGTCCAACACTCCACCGCCTCGTCCACCTAAGCCAAGTTATCTCTCTGAACGGCGTCAAATAGATCAGCTCTTGTTGACTGGGTACAGCAGTAGCAAGAAGCCAGGGTATACTATGGTGCCAAGAAGAATCTCTCTCTCTGGTTTAGATCATGCAGGGTCATGGAAAGGTAAGTGTTGGGTGTTAATATCCAGATACATAATTATGGGCAAGGACTATCCTTCACAATTCCTTATCACACCTTGTGTCCACATTATAGCATTCATTGTTCAAACCAACCCAGACTCCTAATGAGGCTGAATGTACAGTGAGAACACACAGAACTCTCCTGTTTTTTCACCCCTATTTTGAGCCTAGCCACCAGGGAAGATTCTTAGGTTGCTAAAGATACTGTAAAAGGCTAGAGCCTCTGTCCATTGTGAATCCTTGCCCAGGTTGTAATCCCTTCATCTGAGACTGACCTGCTGGGTTTTGCTTGGAGTCAGTTGAATACATACATACTTAGTACAGAAGGTCATGTGGTTTTCTTCAGCTCAACCCCATTCTCTTCTCTGCTTCTCACCTGTATAGTGATCATGAAGACTGTAGATCATAGTGCCTTGTATTTCTTATCAATTTTGTTAGTCTCATTCAGCCTCCCAATTCACATGTTCTTTCTAGATCCTAACTGGCATATGTAATTCTCACCTAGTCTATTAACTCTGGTCTACTGACATACCCTCCAGGGTGAATGACTTGCAATTTTGCATATAGTGTCATTTTCTGCCACTCTCTGCCCTTCCACTCCAGCTCTCTGAGACCTTCAGAAGCTGCTAGACACAAGTCCATGCAAGTATCCTCACTTTGACTTTTTAGTAAATTCTTTACTGCTTCTTTTGGCAGTCTCATATTTTACCATGAGTTAATCAGCTTAAGCATCTTATTCCTTTCCCTTATGCCAATTAGTCTCAGACATATTTAAAAAACCTCATTCTCTCTCCCTCTCTCCTCTTCAATACAATTGCATGCTATTACTTACTAAGACTATATATCAAAAGAGCTAGTTAAAGTGTAAGGAATGCCAATTGGTTTTCAAATCTCTTTCTGATTAGGGAATATGTCACTCTGGAAACACTCAAAAGTCCCTTAATGATGTAACTAACCATCACACATCAGACAACTCCAGTGAAATGGGTGTGTGCTTATTGCACAAAGGTGCATGGGAATAGTGACAAAAAGTGGGGGCAAATAAAAGTTGGCAAGCAAAATTTAGAAACTGAAGCTGGATGGTGGTGGTGTACAACTTTAATCCCAGCACTTGGAAAGTAGAGTTAGGTGAATCTTTAACTTCAAGACCAGCCTGATCTACAGAGTGAGTTCCAGGACAGCTAAGGATATACAGGAAAACCCTGTCTTGAAAAACCAAAAGAATAAATAAAAGAAACCAAAATGAATAAAGCTAGTAGAATAATCGAGTGTGACAATGAATTGAAAGTCTTGAGACAAACATAAAACAACCATGTTATGTTCTTTCAGATATAAACAAACACAGGTTAAAATAGATGAAAATAGGAGTTTTGATCATGAAACAACAGTGAGGAGTAGAAGCAAATTGAGTTGGACAAAGCAGAGGGAACATGTGAAGTTGACCATTCCTTTCCCTTTGCCATCCATTTGGATGTGGAGTTTGTGTGTGGAAGCAGAATTAGGGAAGGCCCAATTTTTGTTAATCTGGATGTCTATTCCATGATGGGGCTCCCTGTATTGGGAAGGTTGTTCTGTTACCTCTATCATAAATGAAACACATGTGTATAAGGGTTTCAATCTGGGCTCTGTTTCCTCTCCTCTGCAATTCAACTTGTACCACTACCACACTTTCTTTTTTTGGTTTTTACGAGGCAAGGTTTCTCTGTATTGTTTTGGAGGCTGTCGGTCCAGCCCAGCCTCGAACTCACAGAGATCCGCCTGCCTCTTCCTCCCGAGTGTGGGATTAAAGGTGTGTGCCACCATCGCCCGGCTCTACCACACTTTCTTAATCATTGAATCTTTCTGTCTTGATAGAAATCAGTTAGAAAATTCTTTCATCTCCTGTTATCCATATGTAATTTGTAAGGATGATCACAGATTACTTAGCACACCCATAATCATCCATGTTTTATATTAGATCCACAGAACTTGCTTGTGTTAAAACTAAAAGTTTAGACCTTTTGATCAACATCTCATTTCCTTGTACTGCCATGTTCCTGGTAACCACAGGGCTAGACCCCATTTTTTTTTTTTTAGTTAACCGTTTTATATTTAACATTTGAGATCATGCAGCAGTTTTTCTTTGTCTGGTTGCTTTCATTTGATATAGCCTTTCAAATTAAAAGAGTTCTCATTTGATGGCTGAATGAACATGTTACTGTGTGCATATATGATGGTGCGCATGTGTGTGTATGCAAATGTATGTGCATGTATGTATATGACACATCTTTTTCCTTTTACCTGTTGATGGACATTTTGCTGTAAATGTATCTTAGTAAGTCTGGGACTGTAGATCTCTTTGACATTCTGATTTCATTTCCTTTGGACATATAAACCCGGTCCTGGAACTGCTGGATAATACAGTAAGCTTATTTTTAATTTTTTGAAGAAACTTCATATTTTCTTTAATTTCTGCAATAATTCACATTCCTACCACTGGTGTGTAAGTATTTGCCTTTTTCCACATTCTTACCTGTACTTGTGATTTTTTTTGGTCATTTTTATGGTTGTTATCATAGCTGGGCTAAGTTAATAATCTAATCTTGAACTTCCCTAATGGTTAACAATGTTGAACATTTTTCATATATTTGTTGGCCATCTGTTGTCTTCTTGGAAATGTCTATTAATCTTTTTTCAGGGTTTATTTATTTTTATTTTATATTATATTTGTTTTGTTTGCATGTATGCCTATGCACAGTGTCTGTAGAGGTCAGAAGAAGGTGTAAGATCCTTTGAACTACAGTTATAGATGGTTGTGAGCCACTAGGTGGTTCTGGGAATTGACCCTTAGTCCTCTACAAGAGCAGTTAGTGCTTGTAACCTCTGAGACATCCCTTCGGCATGTACTGATCATTTTAAGCTTGGATAACTTGCTATTTTGTTGCTGAGTTTTTTAGTTCCTTATAATATATTCTCATGTACTTATTATTTTGTTTATTGTCAAAAACAGTTTATTTGACTCTTTTGCTGTTGTATGAAATTCAAATTGATTTTCTATTTTGATATATCCAGTTTTTCAAATATGTAGATTATTTTTCATTTTTTGTATTGATATATCATCTGCAGATAGTAATAACATCAGTTCTTATTTTTAACTCCTATATCAATTTATGAATAAAACTATTATAAACATTATGTGCAGCTTTTGTATGTTGACAAGTTTTTTCTTCTTTTTTATTTTATTATTTTAATTTTAAATTGCTTGCTTCACATGTCAATCCCAGTTCCCTCTCCCTTCCCGCCTCCCTCACCCTCCCACCATCCCCCCCAGCCTCCCACCATATCGCCACTTCCATCCACATAGGGGATATCTAGAGTCTGTCATTTCACTCAGGGCAGGGTCCAGCACTCCCCTAAGAGTTCAGGCTGAGAGAGCATTCCTCTTTGTGTTATGGACACACGAAGTCCGTTTGTATGCCAGGGACAAACACTGATCTTCTGCCCAGGGCCCCATAGGTTGCCCAGGCCTCCTCACTGACTCTCACACTCAGGGGGTCTGGATCAGTTCCATGCTGGCCTCCCAGCTGTCAGTCTGGGGTCCAAGAGCTCTCCCCTGTTCAGATCAGCTGTCTCTGATGGTTTTGCCAGCCCATTCTTTGCCAATTTGCTCATCACTCCTCTCTCTCTGTCACTGGGTTCCTTGGGTTCTGTTCAGTGCTTAATTGTGTGTTTGCCTCTGCTTCCATTGGTCACTGGATGAATGCTCCAGGATGGTTATAGACATCAAGTTCGTTATTAGGAATGGGCATTCGAGGTGGTCTCTCCACTATTGCTTAGCTTGCCAATTGATGTCATCCCTTTAAATCACTAGAGGTCACACTGGTGGCTGATCTGTCTTCTAACCTATGATTCCCTCTTCCCCCTATTTTACCGCCCCCCTCAACTTCCTGTTCCCCCATGACCTACTCTCTCTTCCTCTTCTCCCCCTCTCTTCTTCCCAGCTCCCACTCCCCCCACCCCTTGCCATGTTTCCAATCTGTTCAGAAGATCTTGCCTCATTCCTCTCCTCTTGGGTAGCGTGCATATCTCTTAGGTTCTTTCCTGTTTCCCAGACTCTCTGTCAGTGGAAGTGCAGACTGGCACTATTCTGATCCATGTCTAAAATCCATATATGAGTGAGTACATACCATGTTTGTCTTATTGTGACTGGGTTACCTCACTCAGGATGGTTTCTTCTAGTGCCATCCATTTACCTGCGAATTTCAGGATTCCATTGTTTTTTTTTCTGCTGAGTAATACTCCATTGTGTAAATGTACCACACTTTCTTTATCCACTCTTCAGTTGAGGGGCATCTAGGTTGCTTCCAAGTTCTGGCTATTACAAATAATGCTGCTATGAACATAGTGGAGCAGATGTCCTTGTTGTATGAATTTGCCTCTTTTGGATATATGCCTAAGAGTGGAATTGCTGGGTCTTGTGGTAGATTGATTCTAATTTTCCTGAGGAATCTCCATACTGATTTCCAAAGTGGCTGTATGAGTTGGCACTCCCACCAGCACTGGAGGAGTGTTCCCCTCTCTCCACATCCTCTCCAGCATAAATTGTCATTGGTGTTTTTGATTTTAGCCATTCTGGCAGGAGTAAGATGGTATCTCAGGGTTGTTTTGATTTGCATTTCCCTAATGGATAATGATGTTGAGCACTTTCTCAAGTGTGTCTCAGCCATTTTAAACTCCTCTACTGAGAATTCTCTATTTAGTTCAGTCCCCCACTTTTTAATTGTGTCTGTTGGTGTTTTACAGATTAGCTTCTTGATTTCTTTGTAAATTTTGGAGATCAGCCCTCTGTCAGATGTGGGGTTAGTGAATATCTTTTCCCATTCTGTGGACTGTCTTTTTGTCTTGTTGACTGTGTCCTTTGCCTTACTGAAGCTTCTTAGTTTCAGGAGGTCCCATTTGTTATTTGTCAATCTCCGTGTCTGTGCTACTGGAGTTATGTTCAGG